TAAATAAATTTCTATCAAAAAAATATACAGAAATACTAATGATGTATATGTATTTATTTTATATTCTATAACTAGTGGTGTGTTAGTAAATATTTAACAACTGGCTCTCCAAAAAACCATATGCACAACACATATTTAAGTTTAATCTGTATTATTAATATTTCCTCCATCACTTTTTGAAGTCTAAATAGTCAACAAAATAACAAATCAACCCCTCTTGTGTAGCATTTGCTGACTTCTGAGGCATAATTGCTCACAATGAAGTTTTAACAATTAACTTTCCTGAGCTGACTCTAGCACCTTCCTGCCTGCAACTTTACAGGTTACTAATTGTTTCACTTAATTTTTAGTGGGTCTCTATATTTCTCCAAGTATACTATTGTATATATCATCTGCAAGAATCAGTAATTTCATTTCTTCTTTGCTTATAGTTATTCATTTAATTTTTTTTCTTATTGTGATAGCTAGCATCTTCAGCACTAAATAACAGATATTCTTGCTTCATCTTGATCTGATTAGAAAGGACTACATTTTCCCACATTACATTTAATGCTGGTTCACAGTTTCAGATAAAAAGTATTCACTATAGGGGCAGCTAGGTGGCATAATGGACCGAGCACCAGCCCTGGATTCAGGACGATCTGATTTCAAATGCAGACTTCTGAGTCACTTAACTAGCTGTGTGACCCTGGGTAAGTCACTTAATCCTGATTGCCTCACCCAAAAAACCAAAAATTATTCACCATGGGTATTGTCAAGTCAATAAACATTTATTAAGTGCTTACTATGTGCCAGACATAGTGATAAGCCCTGGTTTCCTGCAACATGCAAGCAACTATGTACAAACAAGACACATAAAAACACCATAAAAGGTACATACAAGATAAATTGGAGTTAATCTTAGGGGAGAAGGAATTAAAATTAATGAGGATCCAGAAAGACTTCTGGTAAAAAGTGTGATTTTAGCTGAGACTTGAAGGAAGCCAAGAAAGCCAGAATGCTCCCTGCTGGCCATTTATACTCTTTCCTTTCCAGTCCAGAGATCATTTTTCCTTGGATAATTAAACAGAAGCAAAATAAGATTTGAGCAGCTCTGACTGGCAGAAGGGCCAAACCATAAAGAATGGTGGAGGCCAGAATGTCAAGGGAGGAGGGGTAATTCTCATGGTATGGGAGTAATGAGGGTCCTATTCAGCTAGAAGTATGTCCTTTATCAGTCTCCCCTCCTAGTATTCCAACTTTCCTTTGATCACCACTCTAGGCTGTTTTAACTCCATTCCTCCTAAAATATCTTGGGAAGATCACTGATAACAATAATAAATGCTCTGTTGGCCTCCTCATAGTGTCCCTTTAAATTTCAGCACCTGAGACAAAGCTCTGATTACCAACCTTAGTTCTGGTTATTGACAGAGAGCCAGGAAAAGACCCAGCCACAGGATTATTGAAGGGGCAAGACAATTAGAATGAGATGCTTTCATAGACATAATAGCAAAGTGGAAATTGAGAATAAAAGTCAAAGAATTATAGAATATAAGAATGGGAATGGACCTCAGTGGCTCAATAATTCAACATTTACCCAAAAAAAAAAAAAGATTTCCACTAGAAAATATCTGCTAAATGATCATCCAGTCTTAACTTGAAAACCTCCAACTGGGAGAACCTACTATATCACAATATATCCCATTCCATTTTTGGATAGCACTAAGTGTTAAGAAGTTTTTTTCCATATCTTAAGACTAAATTTGTATCTTTGCAACTTCTACCTATCAATCCTATTTCTGCCCCCGCCCCCGGCCAAATAGACCAGTTCGGTTTGTCTTCTCTATAACCCTCTAATTCTTTCCAGACTGGTCTGGTCACATGTGAATCTAATAAAAAAAAAATTACCTTTCCCCCTGTGGAATCTTTAGTGTATTTCGCAGTTCCCCTTGAGAACTGAAGGCCAAATCACACCTTTTGCATTCCAAGCATTACACCAGGTCTTACAGTTCTTACTTCCATCAGTCTAGTTTTGATTTAAGAATGCTTTCCTGTAATAATAGAAATAATAGAAATCTGCCTCCTTAATCCAGTGACATGGCTCTCCTCCTCTCTAAAAACTATTCCTCTGGTTCAAAGTAATGAGGTATTAAGGAGCAGAACATGGCATTTATCCCTTTTTCCAAGTGGCAACTAGATATCAATAATTATAATATTAGAAACTTCCTGATACTCTGATTAAAGATTTGAGTGCCATTTGCTCACAAATCTATTGGTGAGCTATTGGGGTATGGGCTGAGCTAGAAGTCGTCAAGATTAAGGAGGGTTAAGGACAAGTAAATATGTCTTATCATTTTGTTGAATGTTTACAAAATTCACTAACTGTGAGATGTTATTTAGAAACTGTTCCAACATTAATTTTTGCTGATTTGTATATATTTGTGAGGGGCAGCTAGGTGGTACAGTGGACAGAGTGCTGGGCCTGGAGTCAGAAAGACTCATGTTCCTGAGTTCAAATCTGGTCTCAGACACTTACTAGCTGTGTGAACCTGGGCAAGTCACTTAACCCTGCTTGCCTCCTTTTTCTCATCTGTAAAATGTGCTGGAGAAAGAAATGGGAAACCACTCTAGTATCTTTCCCAAGAAAACTCCAAATGGGGTCATAAAGAGTCAAACGTGACTGAAAAATGACTGAATGACACACATCTCTGGGGTTTGGTGCAATCAAATGCAATTTCAGCTGCAAATAGCAACAACTGGAAGACCATTTTTAGAGAATCCTTTTTCAATCTAGACAATAATAAAGAAAAAAAAAGATGGTCCAGGCCTTTAAAAAGATCAAGGGTTACCAATGGGCTACCCAGGTGCTTCACTGGTGTCCGTACGATAGCAAAAGAGCTAGAAGAAAGCATGTTAGGCTCCTCTGTGTCAGATTCATTAGAGGCCATGGACAAGAATCACCCAGGATGGATAGCTATGGATGAGTTGCAATCTGCCTCGCTGAAGAGGGTACCCACATAGGTGAAGGCACAGATCCATCAGAGTACATATTCTGTTTCTACGAATATATATATATATATATACATACATACATACACACACACATATTTTTATAGTGTTGTTTGGTATTATGAAAATAGGATTGGATTTGGCAGAAGACATGGGTTTGAATCTTGACTCTATTGCTTTCCACTTGTGTGACCTTGGACAAAGCCTTCCCTTCTCTGAACCTTGTATAAAATGAGGGAATTGTACTAAATGATTAGTAGGGTTCTTCCGTATGATTTATGATTCCATATGTGTATCATGTCACTATACAAATATGTTGCACTTTAAGTTTGGTTGTTTCGTTGATCTTAAATGAAATGATAAAATATTACTAATACACCAGCAGAAAGGAGGCCTTGATCACTCTGTAAAGATAGCAGTCCTCTAATTCAAACTCCATTTTTTTGTACCCTGGAAAATGAGCCTTGTTAGGTAAACTTAGTGACTGACTTCTTTCCCAGTGGTTGCTGACAGTGAGCGAACTACACTATAGCAAATGGGGATGTCGCTTACATGGATTTTTAAATGTCATATATTGAATCTTTAGCTCAAATACACTTCTCAGATGTTTCATAGCTCCCCATCTCTTTCCCTTTTCTGACTCCAGTTCTGGCAACAAGCTAATGTGGCACATTAAGTCGGTCATAAGCACTTGAAATCATTTCTCTGTGGCCTGGTTCTCTGACCCTAAAAAGTACTGCCAAAGACGAGAAGATGCAACTTTGGGCACATACTCCGGCTGCTGATGACTGTGGAACTCTCCTTGATAGAAATGGGAAAAGATAGTTGCCAGCCCAGCACCAGGAAAATATTTGCTAGCTAGCTAGCTAGAGAGACTAGAGCAGAAGACTGATTTACTGTGATTTTCTAAGATGGTTTTTATTAAAATGACTTTATTCCAAACACTAGAGTATTAAGTACTTTAATATTTGACAATTAAAATACAAAATTGTTAACAGGTATTTGAAAGGACCATATATTTTATTATTCTAATTACATGCAAACTTTTATGACAAATAAGGCTTAGGAAATAGTCTCCTGAAGGTAGGGTAATTAAACAGTGGAAGAAGTGATTTAAATACTGGAATATCTCTGCTATCGGCTGGTTGGCTAGCTGGTTGGTTGGTTATTGTCCTTCATGCTTGAAGAAGATCAAAATGACATCACTCTGTTGAAGGTCAAGGAAGAGTGTGTCCAACTGCAGCTGATCAGATCAATACTGGCTCAGAAGGCTCTACCAAAGGTTGAGCACAAATAGTTCTTATGAACATTTGGAGTGGAGATGGCTCTACATTTGCACATTGCACGTTTCTTTTGAGCGACTGCAGTTCTCCTTTGCTCATAGAGCACAGCACCTTCTTTGATGCAGGTGTGCTATGCTGGGTGGTCCCAGGCCAGTGTCTTCTACCATGCCTCACAGTTGATTCCAAAGTTCTTTAGACAGACTTTGAGAGTGTGCTATTGTATTGCTTCTTCTGACCTCCATGCGAATGCTTGCTTTGTGTGAGTTCTCTGCAAAAATCTTTTAAGAAAACATACTTTTGGCATCAGAACAATGTGGCCAGCCCATCAGAATTGTACTCTCTGTGGTGGAGTTTAAATGCTTGGCAGTTCAGCTTGAGAAAAGACCTTATTGTGCCAGTCGATCTTCAGAATCTTCCCAAAACAATCCAGATGAAAGCAATTCAGTTTCCTGGCATGGCACTGGTATACTTGTCCAGGTACAACTATACAATAAGGAGGTCAGCACAATGGGTCTATAGACCTTCAGTTTGGTAAGCAGTCTAATATGTCTTCTTTCTCACACTTTCCTTCAGAGACTCACAAACACTGAGCCAGCTCTGGCAATTTGTGCATCAACCTCATCATCTATGTGTACAAACATCCCTGGAAAGTTTATTGCCAAAGTAAGTGAACTTATCCACAGCATTCAAAATTTTTCCATTTGCTGTAAATAATGGTTCCACATATGGACAGTATGATGCTGACTGGTGGAGAACCTCTGTTTTCTTGGTATTGATTGCGAGGGCAAAATTAGCACAACCAGCAGAGAATTGGTCTGTACTCTGTTGCATCTGAGCCTTTGAGGCTGCATTGAGTGCATGATCATCTGCAAACAAAGAGGGTCACCCATCAACTCTCTACATATTAGTCTTTGCTTATAGCCTTTTCAAGTTAAATAATTTACTGTCAGTGTAGTAGCTGACCTTGATGCCATTTTTGTCTTTGTTGAAGGTGTCTGGCAACATCACAGAAAATATCATACTAAAAAACACTGGAGCAAGCACACAGCCTTGCTTCACTACATTGGTGTCTGGGAAAGCGTGAAAGCATCGTACATTATCTAGAACTTGTGCAAGCGTGATGGCACCTGTGCCATCATGAAACTGACTTACAAAATTGATAAACTTCTCTAGGCACCCTAATTTTGCCATGATCTTCCATCTACTATGGGAAATCATGGCATCTGCAAAAAAAGCATTCAGAATAGAATAAACTAGTCTCTGTCTTAAATGGTTTAGTTTTGGTTTTTCCTGAAGGTAGGGTACTAGATAAGTTGCATTTTTGAGGCCCCTTCCAGGTCCTCAAAGACCTAGGTTTCTATAAAATCTTGTTCAGAGTATTGAAGTGGAAGGGGGACACACACCTTTCCCAATATGTCAGAACTGCTTAGCAGAGGTTAGGCGCTCCATCTCTTCGGCTCAAGTGTTATCACTGCTTTCTGGACACTTGCCAGGACTTCAAGGTCATTTGTATGACCAACTTGTGGTTACTGGGTGGAGTGAAGTGAACAGAATGGCAGGAGCTAAAAAGACAGGAGAAGCAGAGAACTCTGCCATTCACTTGTTAGTTAGGAATAAGAGCTGGTGACCTTCCATAAGAAGGGGTGAGTCGATTAAGAAGCATTTGCTAAGCAATTACCATGTGTCAGATACTGTGCTGGGTACAGAGCAAGTCATACAGCTATCTGAGTCAGACCTTTTGTGTACTTGTCAGGCCTGAGGCTGCCGGGCAGTTTACCTGTAGGGCTAAATGTGTGGTGGCTAGCCTAAGCATGTGGCCTAGGGAAGGTTTCAGACTAAAGGAGCAGCAACATGACCCCTGAAGCTTAAGAAGCAAGGACAAGAGCCTCAAAGTGGGCAGAATCATAGAAAGTAGCAGCATAGGGCCAAACTTCAGCAGATAATAACTCTAACAATGGGTTGTTACCACAGAATTGTGAAACTGCCAATTTTAGCAGAAGCAGCTGTGGGACAGATCTAAGAGGCAGGCAACCAAATGGCCATGTGTACTCAGGCAGGAGAAGTGTTTCAGCCTCAATGAAAGGTAAACAGCCTCCCCAAATCCTTTACCTAAGAGCATGGGTTTTCTAGGATTTATTCCTTTTCCTTACCCATATGTGAATCTGCAAAATGTACCCATTTATGTATGAGGGAAGGGTGTGAAAGAGTGGAAGACTGAGAATGATTCTATTACTTAACTTTTCATTAGTAATTTTAAAATTCTGTCTCAAATAGTTTGCTATTTGCTGTATGGTTCCTGCCAAGTCTTTTGGGGAGAGGTGGCATTGAATAGGGTCATAAATAGTATTAGTTCTACATTGAATCCAAAAAGTGTAATGACTCCAGAGTTCAGTGAGATATCCATTATGACATTACTGAAAATACAAGAGTTCAGCACATTGCTCAAAAATCTTAACATGATACTCATTTGTATACTATTCAAAATTTATGAAAATAAGGTCTCTATTAGGAAGTAGTATGGTATAGTGGAGGGGGAGGCAATCACTAGAATAAGGATGATTTGACTTGGCTTCTAGTTTCAGAACTACCATTTTGGGTAAGCCACATTATCTACCTACTCCTCGGTTTCCTTATTCCAGCAAAATAAGGAAGTTTGACAGATATGATTCCTATAGTTCTTTCCAGCTCTAAATTAAGCTCTTCTGTGTCTCAAGTCTTTAATATTTATGCTGCCAGACTGCATTTCCTTCTTTGAATGGATCAGAATCCATGCTTCTAATTTATTGCAGTAAATGAGCTCCGACTGCCTTTACATAAAAGTTATCTGTGAAATGTTAACTAGTTATCTAAAGTGTGCATTTTATGGCCACACTGATACAGGCTAAGTTATTTATTACATCAAGAAGCTGCATCTTGGCATCTCTAGGTGGGAGCTCAGTATAATCACATACAGCAGTCAACATAGTTTATTAAAGATTAAAACTCCTTGATGTGTACTAATTTGAAGATCAATCTGCATTCAAAAATTTTAAAAGCATTCTACAGATAGGCAGATTAAGTTGTTTAAAGTAAGGAACATGTGGGATTCATCAAGCTCTGATGTCCAATATAAATCAAGTCTTTGCTGAAGGGGTTAGACATGGAGTATGTTGCTTGATCAGCAGCTGGCTAAGCCCCGTTTTCCTGTTTTCAAGGACTTTGGGAGTTTTAAGGAAGTAACATATGTCAAATGGCATTGTTAATGACAGTCACTAGCCACATCGATCATTTTCATAATTGGCAGTGTGCCAGCTTTAATATTTAGAATATAATAAAGGAATACGGATACATTCCAAGATTTTATGTTCAACTTTAAACAGAGGTGTGTGAGTGGATTAGGAGAGAAGTTCAAAGAGTTCGCCCTCTGTCTAAGGTTAAGTTTCTGAACGTGAGTAGCTTTCCTTCCTAGAAAGCTCAACTGTCATTAATACCAGATACTGCTGGGTTAGGGCAATTGTAATTCAAAAAGGAAGTTCAAAGACTAAAGACTTATGACTCTGGAATTTGAATTTTCCACAAAGATATTCAAAATGCAAACATTAACATGTTTTTATGGGTCTTCTTTGTATTTGAAAGGGATGGGAAGGCCAGTATTCCAAATGATCTAGGTAGCTAGGTGGCACAGTGGATAGAGCACTGGGCCTGCAATCAGGAAGACCTGAATTCAAGTTTAGCCTCAGACACCAAGTATGTGTGACCCTGGACAAGTCACTTAACCTCTGTCCCACTCAGTTTCATCAACTGTAAAATATGGATAATAATAGCAATATACCTGCCAGGGTGTGAAGATTAAATAAGATAATATTTGTAAAGCACTCACACAGTACCATTTGCATAATCTCAGCAGACCCATTGTTGTTAGCTAACAGCTATTTCTCAAAGGATGGGTATACTGAAAAATGAGTTATTTTGCTTGACAGCTAGCTCACTGAAAGTGAGCAATCAATCAAGAAATATTTATTGATATGGCTTTTAATCCTTTTGGCTAAGATAAAGTAAAGAAATATTTATTGCATATCCACTGCATACACAATAGTATGCTAAGCCCTGTGAGGGGATGTGTATAAGACATAGTCCCTACCCACAAAGAACTCAAAGTCCTTTTGGGGAAAGGTCATGGGGCAGAAAGGTATTGGGCTACTCTTTTCTGACTCCAAATCCCATTTGGGGTCTCCAGATTATCCCCTCTCCAATCCATCCTTCAGACAACTGCATTTTTTTTCCCTTTGAATCCTAATTCTCAGGTCTTATCATGTTACTTTCTTGCTGACAAAAGTTTAATGACTTCCCGTAGCATAAAAATTTTAGATAAGCAGCTTTCTCAAACGTTGAATGTCACCCCATAGGTAATTGATTAATTTACCTCTGCATAAAGCCAGCTCTTTCTTATTCATTTAGTATGTGAAAACAACTAATTACATCCAATCCACTGAGTAAGGCTTGGGGAATTCTAGGCTTTCACAGCTTTAACTTACTCATTTCTGAATTCCAGTGAAACTGAACTAGTAGCTACTAGCTGTTCCCCCATCTCATCCTATCCTTTCCCACCTACTTGCATGTTTCAGACATGTTTACCTGCTGAAATCCTTCCACTGATATTCCTTCCAACTCAAAAATTCTGTGTTTCTCTTCCTTCGAGGCTAAGCTTAAATGTAACTTCTTCCATGAAGCTTTCCCTGACCTATACTCCACCTATATCTGAACCCACTTATCTTTTCCTCTTGTGGCACATTGCTTAGATCTCCCCTCTGCTGTACTCTTATCAAACTTCCCTTGTATTTTTATACATGTCCTCCACTACCTGTATTTATTAGATTATGAGCTCTTTGGAAACAGGTATTGTATTGGTTTTTAATCTTTGTATGCTAAGGGCTCACAGAAGTCCTATTCCAATCATGACTTGGAGGTTACTTCTAGATTCAAAGGCTAAGCCAATAGAATGTTAACTCTAGTTATTTCTGCCAAACTGAAAAGTATGGAAAAATAGTTCCGGCATTAGACTGTGCCTTCTTTTCAAGGGCCAGTCTAGCCACACATGGAAAGACATGTTAGCCCTACATGATGAACTGGTGGCTGTGGTCACCAATGAAGCAGATGAATACAACTTCCCTCAGCAATTATAGTGACAGACAAGGGAATGAAGGGTATTAAAAATTATAGTTTTGGGACCATCTACAAACATTAATTTAATTATTGGTCCTCCCAATGTGAGATCTTTGCCCAACAGCCAAATCAATATATTGTTAGAGGAACTGAATTACATATGAACAATGCCATCGCATCTTAAACCAGGAGAAAATTGTAATTAAATGGAAGGAAAACTTAGAAGTTCTTCTTGAAAAGGCAAATGAGGTATAGGAGATAATTTAATATGAACCCAAAAGCAACAATAAACACAATTTCATGGAAGACTTCATCATCTGCTTTATATTGCTTCTGATAAATATAATTTTTAAACTACCATGAATATAGTTGCAGTTTCTATGCCAAAAATCTGTTGCAGAGAAGGAAGAAAAATTCTATTTTAATACCTAATACCAACTTACTGTACAACTTTCTCTTCCTGCTGCTAGGAGAAACAATAGTAACTTTTGGTGGAGGGAGGAAGGGAGAGAGGGAGAGGTAAGAAAGGAGGGAAGGTAAGAGGGAGAGGGAGAGGGAGGGAGGGAGAGAGACAGAGAGTAAAATACAGAGAAACAAAGATAGAGATGTGACATAGCAGCAATGGAGAGAAATAGTCAAGGTCTGAGGAAAAGGGACACAGGAACTATAGTCCAACATACAGTGCTATATAGGAACATATAATGCTATGGCTTCTTGCTACAACAAAGTACCAATTCTACTCACTGTGCTATGTAATGGGTTAATTGTGACCAAACAAAGCCAGATGTCCCTGCCAATGACCAGCCAGACAGCTGAGATGGGAAAGTAATAATCCTCCTAAGTTCCAGGTTACACTGGACCCTATGTTCCATATTCATGTGCCATGGATGAGCCGAGCCTTCAGAATTTCTGCATCTTTCAGTCACAAAGGGAATGTGAATTGAATATGTTGTGGGAACCATGTTGTTGGCACTCCTTTGCCTGGTACAGGTAGGACTCAAACTGTATGTGTTCTAGAACTCCTAAGTCCAGATCAATCATATGTTTGGGGTCGAGGTAAGTATTATTATGTCATTAAGTTCTGTTTGTGTATTGGTTTTACGCTAAGTAAAAATATTGTATGCAGCATTCCAATGTGTGCATTTTGTTCTTTGGGGAGCCAGCTCCATTATGTTAAGGCCATGTGAATGAAATTCATAGAACTAGAGCATATGCAGAAGGAGGGAAGTGAGGGCTTGGATCTACATCCCAACTGGGTAGATCAAAAAATCCACACAACCCTAGGGAATGAGCATCAACACCCCATAGCACAAAGCAGACCTGAAAGGTTACTGACTCTCTGGTAGCCATGAAGAACAAAGCATTTGCTGTTTCCACCCCAGTGAGGCATGGGAACCCATGGGACTTCTCAGTGAGTGAC